CAGCAGGTTTGGCAGCAGACTTTTACTGGCTGATTACCTCGCATCTTGTAAGCCCCAAGATGGATTGTGAAGGTTATCTGCAAATGGTATATTTACAGAATTGTAAGGGAATGCTCTAATTCTTGCCTCCCCATCCTCAGTACTGGGATTAGAGGAATGATCACACATTGCAGCTACAATGTACTATTGAACTAGTGGCGCAGCACTGTTACACTGTTTGAAAGAACAGTGAGATAGTAGCCAAAGTTGTTCTTGTTTTTTGAGACAGTTTCTCTAGTGTAGCCCTGACTACCTTAAACTCACAAAGATCCGTCTGCCTCTGCCTCTCCCAGTGCTGGAGGCATGTGCCACTGCTTCTGGCTAAGATTTCTTGATGGGTGCAGGACACTAATGTTTGGGTTGGTTAGTAGACACAGATTTAGACAGGCAGCAGGTAACTAAGTTACTTTCCTAGCTTACACAGCAGAGCTGCTTAGTGAGTCTCTGTTAGCGTCCCCAAGACTTCTTGTAAATTTATATTGTGAGTTAGAAAAGTACATGACTAGTTCTGGCAATCCTCTTACCAGGATTGTCAACTGCAGATACATACTTAAAATTAAGGTATCCATAAATTTTTGAAATTACATTTACTTATATGTGTATAGACAAGCATTTTGTTCCTCTTCCAAGGATTATAGTCTGGAATTCCAGTAAGCCCAGCATGAAGATGCTCTCCAATAATGTGTAACAAGCCTAATGGTGGTGCATGCCTAAATCAGGGTTCAGGAGGTGGAGACAGAAGGAAGGATCTCATGAGTTGAGATAGTACACAGTGGTAGAGCTGCCCTTTTTTATTTTATTTTATTTCATTTATTTCATTTATTTATTTATTTATTTATTTATTTATTTAGCAAAGGCCCTGGGTTATGCCCCCAGCAATGGACACATGCTAATGTGTGTTTCTGTTTTTAAGTTTTAATTTTGCTTATGGTACAGGCTGGAGGCATAAAACTTAGCCTTCAATAAATAAAAAGATATAAATGGGGGAATTAAAGTGCCCTTAGTTTATGGAAGATAATCTATACATAGATTCTAAAAGCTCCATCGGAAAACTCCTCTTTTCTCTGTATCACATAACAAGCATGGATGGGAAGGAAATCTGGAAAAAGCCTTCGTAGTCAGCTCAGACAACAAAGGCTAGAGAGAGGAACTGGTGCTTATGAGTGTATACTGCTTCTTGTAGATTTCAGAGGTCAGTTTCTAGCATCTATGTCCCAGACCCTATAACTGACTGTTAATCACCAGTCCTAGTACAAGCCCATGCTGCTGGCCCTCAGGCCTCCACCTCCATTGCACCTGCACTCACTCATACCCCCAACCGCAGACATCAGACATACATATAATTAAAAGCTTTAAAGTGGGACCTGGAGAGGTGGTTCAGTAGTTGTTCTTGCACAGAGGATCTGGTTTCAGTTCCTGCCACAAATGGTGGCGTACTACCATCTATGACTCCAGTTCTGTAGGGGGAATAATACCCCTTTCTGACATCTTTGGGCACCAAGGCAAGCATGTGGTACATATACATATTACCTTTAGGCAAAACATTCATATATAATTTTTTAATATTAAAAAAATCCAAGGACTAGGTATAGTAGTGCAGGTCTTTAATCTTAGTACCCTGGTAGAGAGGCAAGTGGATCTTTGGGTTCCAGACCAACTAGGGCTACATAATGAGACGCTGCTTTTTTTTCTCGGGACTTTTTTAAAATTAGGCTTTTATTTTTTATACTAATTACAGTTTATTTACTTTGTATCCCAACTGTAGCCCCCTCCTTCATTCCCTCCGAGTCCCACCCTCCCTCATCTCCTCCTTGCCCCTAAGTCCACTGATAGGGGAGGTCCTCCTCCCCTTCCATCTGACCCTAGCTTATCAGGTCTCATCAGGACTGGCTGCAATGTCCTCTGTGGCCTAGCAAGGCTGCTCCTCCCACAGGGGGAAGGGGGAAGTCAAAGAGCCAGCCATTGAGTTCATGTCAGAGACAGTCCCTGGAGACCCTGTTTTTAATTCATTCTTACCCATCTAAAACATGTATAACATAGCAAGTATGTATAATATGTGCTACAGCATTATATAATGTGTAATAAGTGTGTGGGTTTTGCATTCAAAGTTCAGTAGGGATTAGTTTATAGCTTCACCAATTAAAATTCTGTATTGGCGTACTATGAAAAAAAGCTTGCTCCTTTTCTGATGTGATGAAATCCACATATGTATAATCCACAATGTATAATTCCACATATGGGTGACTGAACTATGAAGTTATTTAAGTGGACATGTGTGTATGTTTATGGTATACATTATGTTGCTGTATATACGTTATAGGATGGCAATATTGTTACTAACATCCATTACTTGACATATTATTTCTACTCTTACATTCAGACCCTGTAGGGTCTGCTGTAGAGTAGATCATCTAAACATCATCCTTTCTCAGATATGTCTGCTCATCAGCTTCTTCCCAGTTGTGCCCCACCCCATTAGCTGAGAATTAATGACTGGGAACTGTCACATGAACACTATGTGTGTATGTAATTTATTTTTTTATTTTGTGAGCCATCATGTGGATGCTGGGAATTGGGGAACTTAGGACCTCTGGAAGAGCAGCTAGTGCTCTTAACTTCTGAGCCATCTCTCTAGCCCACATGAACATTATTAAATTCTACTGTACTGTTCTTAAGTCATTTCAGTGACAGCTGTGTCCCTTTGACTGCTTTTGCTAAATGAGACCATATGACAAAGTGTATAGCCTATACATAAATCCTAAGACATTCACTGTTGTAACCCTATGTAGAAAATGTGTTTTGTTAAAGATCCTCCATGAGGTAGCTGGCAAAATGAGTTTAATGAATAAAATGAGAAGGGTTCTTACTGGAATTTTTGTTTCACATTTTCCCCTTTATAGGCATATATGTGTGATGTGTATGCAGTTAGCAGGTACATGTGCGTGTGTCACAAATGGTGGTTAGAAGTTGACTTTGGTTATTCTATCCATTGCTCTCTCCACCTTATGTGTGGAGGCAGGCTTTTCCTGCTGGACCATTCAGCTGGAGTCTCGTTTCTGCCTCCTGCATATAGGAATTACAGGGCTAGTCCTCAGGCTTGTAGTCCAAATGCTTACCCACTGACCCATTTCTCCAGTCTTTCACTTTTTTGTGTGCTGCTAGGAATTGAGCTCTTGTGCCTCCCAACCCACATGCTGGGCAAGAGCTGTATCACTGCAGCTGGCACCAGCCGTTTCTTCATAGAAATGGTTGTTTCTACCAAACTCAGCTGTCTTCCTCTGTTCTACAACTCGAAAATTGGGCAAATCTTTTTAGTTTTTAGGGGCTGCCTTTTAGAGTCTTTGTTTTATTCTGCTAGAGTGAGACTTAGAGGAATTTCAAAAGCATCGCTGGAGGAGAAGCCTATTTCTGTGGAAGCTTTTGTCTTTGGTTGTTGTTTTTTTTTTTTTTTTTTTTTTCTGGTTTGTTTGGTTTTTGTTTTGTTTTGTTTTGTCAAGACAGGTGTCTTTCTATACCTTGGCTGTCCAGGAACACAATTTGTAGACAAGGTTAGCTTTAAACTCTGAGATCTGCCTGCCTCTACCTCCTAGTGCTGGGATTAAAGGTGTCAACCACCAACACCCAGCAGAGTATTAGTTTCAAAAAAATATATTCTAAACTTTTGATCTCAGTAGACTTGCCCAACACTCATGGTTGGTTTCTTAAAAGGCTTCAGGGTATTCAGATCTGAGATAAAAGATATGTCTTTTTAAGATTTGAGAATTTTGATTCGGAGGAATTAACCTGTATCTTTAAACCCCAAATCTATTTGATTTGCAGCAGAATTTTTAGATTCAGTCTGTATAAGAAAAGGTTTTTGTTAAAAGTTTTTAGAATTTTGTATTTCTAGCTATTCCTTAGTTTGATGTTGTGTGATGGGATTACATGTATGTGCCGCCACTCAGCCTCATGAGTGTTTTCTGTGTACATTGGAATGAAAACCAAAAAATCTTGAATTCTTTAAATAATGGCCCACCACACAATTTTTCATAGAAGTAGTTTATTTCTGGGCATAGTGGTGCACTCAGGAGGCAGAGGCAAGTGGATCTCAATCTGGTCTACATAGTAAGTTGCATGACAGCCAGTCCTAGGTAGAGACAGACCTTGTCTCAAAACAAACAGCAACAAAATAAACAAAAAAGGATTAAATTAAAGCAGTTACTGAGTGGAAAAACTTGGGAGTTACTAAATAAAAGTAAAGTTCTTTAATCTTACAGAGTTAAGTTTTGCAGCCCTGTTTATACAGTTTTCCCCATATGTTTATGCAGACAGAACATCCATATGTGCACATAATTTGTTGTTTTGCTCAATAAAACCAAAGAAATTACACCCTGGTGACTAACTTGCTTTTTTCTTGTTGTCATGGACTACTTTTCAGGTCAGTGCTTCAATGAAAGCCCATTCTCTCAATGGCTGAATATTCCCCTGTATGGATGTACCTTACTATATAACCAGTTTCCATATTGATGGATATATGGTTATATTTAGTTTTTTTCTAGCAATATGATGGGTTAGATAGAGACTATAAGGAAGTAGAGTGTATAAGCTACTTTAAAGAAAAAAAAGAAGAAACTTCCTTTTGCCATAGTCACTTGCTAAATGAAAGTGAATAAAAACACTGTCAAAAGTTGGGAGGACCCAGGAGCTGGAGATAGCAGTCAGGAACACTGGCTCTTCCAGAGGACCCAGTTTCAATTCCCAGCACCCACATGGCAGCTCGCAACTATCTGTAACTCTAGTTCCAGAGGGATCTGACAACCTCACACAGACATACATGCAGGCAAAATATCAATGCACATAAAAATAAATGTATATATTTAAAAAGTTGGGAGGACCAAAATTGATAATTTTTTTCTGATCTTTTTGCCATGTGTATATCTGAATTCTTTGTTTTTAAAGAAGAAACAGCATTGAAGCATTATTTGGGGGGAAAAAACACACACACAAAATCCAGCAACTCAGCATTCATGAGCAACTCTGTTCTATACCAGTATGTGCCTGTGCAGTGGAAGGAAAGCAATTTTGGTAAGGAATTAAAACTTCAGCTTTAACTCCCGGCAGGTTGATGGTTATGAACGGTGAACACAGACAGTTTTAAATGCTACATGACAATGCTTTTCAGTTGTGGAGCCCCCTCCCTTTGATACCTGTAACTTCAATGTTAAGTTTCCCCCTTTTCCTTAAAGAAAAACCTGAATTTACAGCCAACATAATGTAGATGTACCTAAGGTATGTGTTTGTTCTGACTTACATAAGTGTTCATTAAGATGTGTTTATGTATCACCTGATCTTGTTCTTCAAGGGGCAAGTTCACTAATGCTGAGTTTTCATACAGTAACAAGTCTTTCTAGCTGTGCCATCCGTCTAGATGCTTTAAAATGCTTATATATTTTGCTTGTTAAAGTACATATTATGGGGGTTATCATTTGTACCTTTTTGAGTAAATGTAAGCATGGTATCTGTTATGCTTATTTCATTAATGTAAACTTTTCTGCCTTTTACATTATGTAGGAAATATATCCCGGACAGTTCCAGCCATCTCTGTGTCACAGATTCATAGCTTTGTCAGATAAGGAAGGAAAACTACTTCGAAACTATACTCAAAATATAGATACCTTGGAGCAGGTTGCAGGAATCCAAAGGATCATTCAGTGTCATGGTTAGTAAATGTCACGATGGCTTTCTGGAGGTGCTTAGTTTAATATGAACATCAGGCTTGGGAAGAAGCTGCTATCTCGTAACTAGATTAAGCAGTAGTTTGATAATAGAGTGTACAAAACTGAGAAGTACAGGAAAATAAAGAAGGCCTTAGCTGTGTTGGTGTGTATACTTTGATAGTAAGTTCATGGTCTGCCTTGATTACATAGGACACACCTGTGCTAAGGTAACTCAATTGGAAATTTCCATTTGCAGAGTTTTAGCACTTGCAGAGTTATTTTATTGCAAATAGTAGCTTTAAATGATAAGAATACATATATAAACTATATCACGTATTACATTCTTTACAAGACTTCATGAGAACTCAGGTTAAAGCCACAAATATCCCTTCAATTAAGCACTTACATTTTGGTTGTTTTAGGTTCATTTGCAACAGCATCATGCTTGATTTGTAAATACAAAGTTGATTGTGAAGCTGTTCGCGGAGATATTTTTAATCAGGTAATTCCTTTTCTCGTTTCAGAAGTTGTGTAAGTTTGCTTTTTGTTGCTTCTATGTTCATTATGTTCGTATTTTTTTTCCCCTTTCTGAGCTGTATGTGTTTAGAGTGCTGGAAATTCTAGTGTGAATAAGTTTTTTTTTTTTTTTTCTTTCTACTTTAAGTAGGAAATCCCTGCAGGCTGATGTTAGAGCACACTAAATTGGCTGAGGCAGGGGGATTGTGAAGGCAGGCTAACCTGAGTTGGATAGGAAGTCTCATTAAAAAAAAAAAAAAAAGTTGGAATGTTGCACAGTTGGTTGAATGGCTGCTTAGCATTCAGAGTCTCAGGTTTGCGCTCCAGCACCAATAAATCTGGTGTGTGTTGCACATGCTTGTAATCCCAGCATTTGGGATGATGGAGAAGAAGCTGAAGGTCATGCTCACCTACAAACAAGTTTGAGGCCAGCTCTCATTACATGAGACCCTTTCTCAAACTTAAAAGTCCTCCTTGATACCTCCTAAGTACCTTCTGACTAAGTCTAAACAGGAGGCCAGGGCACAAGTTGCAGGGAAATACCTCTGCTTCCATGCTTTTTCAGTTTTGGTTAGATCTGGAGTCAGAATTTCTTACATCAGTTGAAAGATTTAAACATTTCCAAAATGACAGTGAAGTATTTACTAAAGGAAAATATAGTAACACACATCCAGAAAAATGTCCTGTATGTTTAGCTGCATTATCATGTATAACCAGGAAAATGGTGTTGAAGCGACTTTTGCCTGATTTTTTGTCTTGGAGGCTTATTGCCTCCTCCTAACCTAGGTCTAGTTCTGGAAGTTTCTAGCCTTTGTACAGTCTAACCTAGGCCTAGAATATTTTCAGCCTTTGAGACTTATTACTTAATAACCTCACCTTTTCTAAGTCTTTCTGAACTCTAGCAGGTTCAACTCAGTTGTTCTGGCTCAAACTCCTCTCATGGCTGACAAATTCAATTTGGTTTCTCTCAGCTGACTTTTTGCTCTCTTGGCCTCAGTATAGCAATCTATTCTAATACTCTGGCTCCTTTTTCTCTGGCTCATCTGTCTTCACCTATGTTTAGCTTATTCTCTCTACATCTCATCTCTGTTAAACTGTCCTGGTAAAACTGCTTCCTCTGCCTACCCTCTCCCCCGACTCTTCTTAAGCCTTCTCTCTTTCTTGTAAGAGTTGGTCATGTCCTATTTTGTCGAAGTCATGTTGTCTGCCTTTCAGTTAGACATCTCTTTCAAACTGGTGCTTCTTCTGCAAACTTCCTTGTTGTTTGGGATTAGAGGTGTGTACTAAGGGCGTGTCTGTATTCCAGCCAGAGTAGCCATGTTCTGGATTCCCTCTACAAAATGGAGTCATTTTCACAAACATTTTTAAAAGCCCAAGTTTTTTTTTTTTTTTTTTTTTTGGTTTGTTTGCTTTTTTTTTCCCTGATGCTCTTTTGCATATTTAGTATTTTGTGTATGCCCAGGTAGGTATATGATATGATCTATGTGAGAAGGCAGAGCCTAAAAGATCAGGGTGTGGAGGTCAGAACATCAATGTTGGGAGTGAGTTCTCTGCTTCTACTATGTGGGTTCTGGGAGTTGAATTTGGTTGTCAGGCTTGGTGAAAATTTCCTTCACCTGCTGAGCCATCACCCTGGCTCCACAGTAGACACTATCAAATATACTTCTATACAGCTTTTTCTGGGAATGTTGACTTCTAACTTGGGCTCTCTTCACTTTCACATTTTCTGTAGGTAGTTCCTCGGTGTCCAAGGTGCCCAGCTGATGAGCCACTTGCTATCATGAAGCCAGAGATTGTTTTCTTTGGTGAAAATTTACCAGAACAGTTTCATAGAGCCATGAAGTATGACAAAGATGAAGTTGACCTCCTCATTGTTATTGGGTCTTCTCTGAAAGTAAGACCAGTAGCACTGATTCCAAGTAAGTTGATGGTTTAGCAGGACAGAGGCAATTTTTATTTCGTTTTTATTTAGTTGAAGGCCTAAGCTCTAAGGTCTTAAAGTTACATTTTATGTCACTTTATGGGAATAGGGCTGTGAAGATAGACGCAATATCAAATTTTAGTTGTAGTTTATATAAAATCAAAGCAAAACTGTTTGACTCATACTTTTTAGTGGTGTGTATTTAAAGTTGCAGAGGTTACTTTCAATTAATTCCCTGTATAGTCTCTAATGTGTGAGGGTGTTTTGCTTGCATGTATGTCTGTGTGCCCACTTTACCAGACAAGAATGTTAGACCCCCTAGAACAGTGGTTTTCAACCTTCTAATGCTGAAACCCTTTAATACAATTCATGTTATGACCTTCCAACCATAACATATTTTTTGTTGCTACTTCATAACTGTGATTTTGCTAGTTATGAATTGTAAATATCTGTATTTTCTGATGGCTTTAGGTGACCTCTGTGAGGATCATTCAAAGAGATCATGACCCACAGGTTGAGAACCACTAGACTATGGAGTTCAATGTATAGTAGCTTTCGTGTGATCAGAAAGCTTGTTAGCGGTTTTATGTGCTCATATGTGATGGAAGTATGTGTGTGTAGGGGTATGTGCTAGAGAGATGGATCAATCAGCAGTGAAGAGCACTGTTCTTGGAGACCCAGGATGAGTTCCCCAGCACCCACATGTCAGCGCCTAAGTTTATCTCCAGTTTATAGGGTTATAGCACACTGTTTGGCCAAGGGATCACCAAGTACTTATATTGTAGGCATAGAACACCTAACCTCAAATATGTTTTTTGAGACAAGTTTTCCCTGCGTAGCCCTAGCTGTCCTGGAGGAACTACAGAACTCCTAAGATCTGACTGCCTCTGCTTCATGCTGCGATCAAAGGTGTATGCCACCACTGCCAGGCCACACTCCACTTGAGAACAAGATCTCAGTGTAGTTTGGGTCTGGGACTTCTCTGCAGACTAGGCTGGCCCCACAGAGAGAGGGAGAGAGAGAGAGAGAGAGAGAGAGAGAGTGTTGCCTGTTCTGGTCTCCTCGGTGCTGGGATAAAAGGCATATGCTACTCGCAGCTAATCTTTGGTAGCCAGGAATGGTGACATACACCTGTTTGTAGTAAGCCATGTGGTGGTGGGGTGAAGGCAGGAGGCTCAGGAGTTTCAACAATGCTTCTGCTACATAAGCAAAATTTGAGGCCACCCCGGGACAGATGAATCTTTTCCATAATGGTTGTAGTTTCGAGAGGACATTTGCTTATGTCCAGAAGTTTGATATAGCAGCCAACATAATTCCAGCAGGTGGCTCTCATTTCGAGGGCAGCCTGGCCTACATACTGAGTTCCAGGACAGCCAAGGTAGTGAGACCTTATCTACAACACCCTTTCCCTCCCAAACCAACCAATGTCCAAGGTCTGTTTGAGATAGGGTCTTATACTTACAGTGTAACTCTTTGGCCCTGTTTTCTGAGTAATGGGACAAAAGGCGTGTGCCGTTATGGCCTCACCCCTTAAAACAAAAGTTTGGTTTTGGTTAACCTGGCTACATTTTTTTTTTCTTAAAGATTTATTTTTATATATGAGTGTTCTGTCTGCATGTATGCTTGCACACCAGAAGAGGGCAACAGGTCCCAGTATATAGATGGTTGTGAGCCACCATGTGGTTGCTGGAGATTGAACTCAGGACCTCTGGAAGAGCAGACAGTAATTACTCTTATGGCTGAGCCTTCTCTCTACCCCCTGAATTTCTTTTTTCATGTTTCTATTGACACCTCCACTGTGTGAAGCAGCTAAGGAGAACTGAGACATTTCAGATACGTGTGATCAAGAGGACAAGAGACTTAGCCTTGTAAATACTGGCTGTCTTGGAACTCTGTAGACTAGGATGTCCTCAGATTCACAAGCATCTGCCTGCCTCTGCTTAACAAGTGCTGGGATTAAAGGCATGAGCCTCCAACATCAGCTAGATTTTTATTTTTTAAAGCTAATTCAAAGGATGTTTGGGGTTTTAAAGTATGCTTTCTGAACTGCAACACCTGGGATCTCAGCTCTTCTGAGGCCGGACAGGATTGTCATGAGTTTAGGGCCACAGAATAAGGGACAACCTCGGTGGGAGAAACATGTATTGCTTGTTATTTAGAGGAAATTGGTTTTGGAAATTGTAAATGAGTACAAAATAGATTTGTATGCCTCCCCTACCTTTGTTGCTGTTATGTTCTGGCTGCTTCCCTTGAACTCCCAGAGATCCTGGTGCTGGAATTAAAGTGGTATGACACCAGTCCCACCCTATACATCTGTTTTCATGCTTTCTCTTCCTTTTTCACTGTTTTAGGTTCCATACCCCATGAAGTGCCTCAAATATTAATAAATAGGGAACCTTTGCCTCATCTGCATTTTGATGTAGAGCTTCTTGGAGACTGCGATGTTATAATAAATGAGTTGTGTCATAGGTTAGGTGGCGAATATGCCAAACTTTGTTGTAACCCTGTAAAGCTTTTAGAAATTACCGAAAAACCTCCACGAACACAAAAGGAATTGGTTCATTTATCAGAATTGCCACCAACACCTCTTCATATTTCGGAAGACTCAAGTTCACCTGGAAGAACTGTACCACAAGATTCTTCTGTGACTGCTACACTTGTAGACAAAGCAACAAAGAACAAAGCTGATGATTTAGAAGTATCTGAAGCAAAAGGTTGCATGGGAGAAAAATCACAAGAAGTACAGACTTGTAAGAATGTTGAGAGCATTAATGTGGAAAATCCAGATTTCAAGGCTGTTGGTTCTAGTACAGGAGACAAAAATGAAAGAACTTCAGTTGCAGAAACAGTAAGAAAATGCTGGCCCAACAGACTTGCAAAGGAGCAGATTAGTAAGCGGCTTGATGGTAAGGAATGCTTTTTGTTGAAAACCAGTTTCAGAGTATTGTGGAAGAACGATGACTCCCATTGTCAGTAACTTTTGACATTAGTTGTCAAGACAGTGCTGTGTGTTTGTGTGTAAGAAGGTAGAGAAAGTCTGGGTGATGTGGTTTTTTTTTTTTTTGCAGGAAGTACTATGTATTGATTAAACCCAGGGCTTCAAGTAGCTAGTGCTGTTTAAAGTAGCAGGAATGATTTAACAAGGTAAACTGTTTGCCTACCTCCCCAGCAAATGACTGAGAAGAATGTTTACTGGGTCAGTTTACATACACAGCTGACACTGTTCTGGCAGGGTGGGAAAACTCATGTATGATGGCTTAGAAGGTTTGCCAGGTAAAATTCTAGGCTGGCTTTAAGGTCTGGAAAACAGGGTTCTTTTCTACTAGATGTCTATCTTATTTTATTTTGTGCTATCAACTGTTAATGTAGGTGTTATAGTCTGCTTAAATTCTATGGTACAACCGCTACCATACTTTGTAGGAACCGACTTTGGGGTTTATATAGAGCCTCACATTTGGAGAGTAAGCTGGCCTTGAAATGTGTGTAGCTTTGATCCTTGGTAAGAATCCAAACCATAGCAATCTAGACAACAGCAGTGCACTGTAATATAACAATCTATTTCTATCCCCTATATAAATAAAACTCCCAGCAGACTTACATAATTTTTGTTTTGTTTTTTCGAGACAGGGTTTCTCTGTGTAACTGTTCTGAACTTGCTTTGTAGACCAAACTAGCCTGGAACTGATAGAAATTGGCCTGCCTCTGCCTCTTAAGTGCTGGGATTAAAGATGCCCAGTTTGAAATTATAAAATTTGCAGTTTCTCTTAACAGTTACCTGGCGTTGGTCCCTCCCTCTTGAGTGCTAGGATTGTGTCATGAACCGTCACAGACCAGTGAAGAATATTTTAGATAAGAAGCCATGAGCCATCACAGACCAGTGAAGAATATTTTAGATAATCAAAGATAAACTTCCTGCATCCATCTCCCCGGTGCTAGGATTACAAGTATGTGCCACCATACCTAGTTTATGTAATGCTGAGTATAAACTCAAGGCTTTGGATAATGGGCAAGCAATCTGCCAGTAAACAAATCTTAGTTGAGTAGAATTTGACCTTTTTCCCTATAAGGTAGTATAGTAAATTCTGGAGATAGAAATCCATACTTACTTTTGTTTGTGTGATTTTAAAAACAGGTGACAAATTGTTTTAGTATTGCTGAAGCAGAGTACTTCATTTAAAATAAACAACCCTCCCCACACAAAATAAGTTGATAATAGAACCTAATTAATTCTGGCCCCCCTTCAGACTCAGAGATCCACTGCCTCCCCAAGTGATGGAGTGCTCTATTTACATGTGTGCCTGTACAGAAGAGGACAGATAGCACATTCCATTGTTTGTGTTGGGAGTTAAACTTATAACCTGTGAAAGAACAGCCTGTGCTCTTAACCACTGAATCATCTCTCCAGCCCAGAACCAAATTTGAGAATTTTCTGTGTGTAGCCTAGCAGTCCTGAAACTGGATTTGTAGACCAGGCTGGCCCTGAACTCGAGATTCACCTACCTCTGTCTACCAAGTATTGGGATTAGAGGTGTGCGTCACCATGACTAGCTAGAGTCCAACGTGTTAAGCAATAGTTTTATCCTCTTTTCGGGTAAACATTGGAACATTTATGTTTGGAAATGGCAGAGAAGTGATTTGATTAACATAACCTCCCATCCACCCAACACTCACACTCTGTTCAACATACACAGTGGAAGAGACTTTATAGCTACATTTGCCCCTGGAAACCAGACCTGGAAGTCTTAATACACTGTTTTAGTCTTTTAGGTAAAAGTATATAGTCTGTTCTTTCTGAAAAAAGTGCAAGCAATAGAAGTGTCAGATTTGGAAAGATAACATGTAAAGCAAGACATGGTTACCTATAATATATATCTACAGTATCTATAAATTTCATTCAGGAGGTAGAATTAAGCAGGTGAGTTCAAGGCAGATTTGTCTCAAACAGTAACAAGCCAACAAAACCACAGAATAGAAAGTTTGTGAGCCTTTCAGGTTAGCTGTACTTAAGGATTCCAGGGAGTCTTAGTCTGGTCTCAAGACAATCAAGTGATGTTTACTTCTTACTGCTGTATTTCAGGTAACCAGTACCTGTTTGTACCACCAAATCGTTACATATTCCATGGCGCTGAGGTATACTCAGACTCTGAAGACGATGTCTTGTCCTCTAGTTCCTGTGGCAGTAACAGTGACAGTGGCACATGCCAGAGTCCAAGTTTAGAAGAACCCATGGAAGATGAAAGTGAAATTGAAGAGTTCTACAATGGCTTGGAAGATGATACGGATAGACCTGAAGGTGCTGGAGTATCAGGATTTGGAGCGGATGGAGGGGCTGAAGTAGTAGTTAATGAAACTATAGCCACGAGGCAGGAAGTAACAGATGTAAACTACCCATCAGATAAATCATAACGCTTTTGCAGTTGTCCAGGTACAGGAATTGCTCCACCAGCATTGGGAACTTCGCATGTCAAAAATGAATGTTTACTTGTGAACTTGAACAAGGAAATCAGATGTAATATTTATAGACTGGAAAATAGGTTGTCTTCTCTTGGGTGATTTTTAAAGTTCCATCATTTCTGTACTTGTACATCCAACACTAACATTTTTAAAGGTACTAGGTATCTTTAATCAGCTGTTAGTTGAATTTGTTTTCCTTTAAAGGTTCATTTGTATGATATAACCATATGTATATATAATTTTGTTTTTGCCTAGTTGAGTGTCAACATTTTAAAGTTTTCAAAAAGCCATTGGAATGTTAATGTAAAGGGAACAGCTTATCTAGACCAAAGAATGGTATTTCACACTTTTGTTTGTAACAGTGAATACTTTGAAATCCTGAATTTCTGTTCTGCTGAACTTTTACTTTTAGCAGTTACCTTTTTAAACACTGGCATTTTCCAAAACTTGTGGCAGCTAACTTTGTAAAATCAGATGACTTGTGAGAAAGAAGTCAGCATGTGGGGGGCACTCACAATTTGGTGCAGAATTTGAAGTGTATTTATTATTTAAGATGGTTTTTGTACTTGCTGCAGACATGTGGTAATGTCCAAACAGGCCCCTAAGATTAACCTTATAAATGATTTGGAAATGTTTCAGTTGCTCTAGAAACAATAGTGCCTGTCTATAGGTCCCCTTAGTTTGAATATTTGCCATTGTTTAATTAAATACCTATCACTGTGGTAGAGCTTGCATAGATCTTCACCACAAGTATTAAACTGCCAAGATGTGAATATGCAAAGCCTTTCTTTCTGAATCTAATAATGGTACTGGGGAGAGTGTAATATTTTGGACTGCTGTTTTTCCATTGATGAAGAAAGCAATATGCCTCTTAATTAAAAGTTCCAAAGTCATAAGATAAACTGTAACTCAACCAGAAAGTACATTGTTTCCTGTTGAGAGGATTTGGTGTAATGTATCCCAAAGTGTTAGCCTGTATTATGGAGATGAATACAAATCCAATAGTTAATGAAACTAGTCCTTATTTATTTAAAAGCTTAGCTTGCCTTAAAACTAGAGATCCATTTTTTCTGAACTGCAGAAGCTTTTAGCCTTTCAAACAGTTCACACCTCAAAAAAAAAAAAAAAAAAAAAAAAAGTATTTATTTTACAGGTTTCTTTGGACCATTACCCCCAAATTTATTCATGTGCTGGTTGGTTTAGTATTTTTAAAAAAAGGGTTTGAAATATAGCTGTTCTTTATGCAGAAAATACCCAGTTAGGACTGTTACTGCCAGAGGAGAAAACAATTAAGTGGCTCATTTCCCTACCTAAAGATCTCTCAATCTGGATTTATTTGGCTAAAGAATGCAGTATATTTAGTTTTTCATTTGCATGATGTGTTTGTGCTATAGACAATATTTTAAATTGAAAAATTTGTTTTAAATTATTTTTACAGTGAAGACTGTTTCCAGCTCTTTTTATATTGTACATAGACTTTTATGTAATCTGGCATATGTTTTGTAGACTGTTTAATGACTGGATTATCTTCCTCCAACTTTTGAAATACAAAAGCAGTGTTTTATACTTGTATCTTGTTTTAAAGTCTTATATTAAAATTGTCGTTTGACTCCCCCCCCCCCTTAACTTCCATTGTTTAAAAGTGTACCAGCCCAATAAGGCTTGTTCTTCTAACCCTGATTATCTCATCACACTTGTTACCTGGTACCAGCATGCCTCTTACCAACTTTTTAAGAGGAAAAAAAAAAGTAACTGACGGTAACCCTGTGCCTACCTCAAGTGTGGGATGACAGCACTAGAGTGTGTGTGTGTACTAAATGGACAAAGCTAAACTATTTAGATGGGATCCCCGTTTTAGTGATTAGTTCTCACATTAGGCAGCCTGTGACTCTGACACCTGCTTCTCGCCTCCAAGGGCTCCTGCATCCATGAAACACAGACACACCAACTCCCTAAGTTTGAATGCGAGAGTGAACCAATGGAAGTTGAAATATTAAGCTATTAAGTCTTTATTTAAGCTTTTCATGGCATTTTTAATTTAAAAATAAATATTTGCATTGTAGTTAGCAGAGTCACATGTACCACATCAACTCAGTTTCACAATTTATTAACATAAGATGACAGCACCATAAAACCACTTAAGATTTTTCTAAAGCACTGAAAATGTAATACTTTAGTCAGTAGTTTTGAAGCTCTAACTTGTGATTAGTTCTCACACTGGCCACTAGTTCTGTTTCTGGCCAACATATCTCAGCAAAAAAGGAAGAGCTGCAGGCTAAATAAGTATTTGTAATTTAGGTCTGCATGGACATTGGTTGCAAAAAGATTGTTTCCACCATGCTCTTCTAAAATCTCCAAGTCAGAATGAATCATAATTTTTAAATTTCAGCTCAGTTTAATTACAACAGAAAATACTGGTATCTGAATGTCACTATTTTATTACAAAACTTTTATTTACAAAATGGAAAAATAATCAAATGACTATCGGCAGGCAAAAGTTAAAAGATTTTTTTTTTTACCCAGTGATTGAAGAAATATTAAGCAACATTTCCATGCACCCACATATCAGGTAATTTCTGAAATATGCAAACTCTTAAAATTCCTGTTAGTAAAACTTTAATGTATTCACAATACTTGTATGTTTATGAGGATGGGGACAATCCATGGTTCTGTACAGTAAGTTTAGCATTAACAGTTGCTCAATTTTTCTTTAATTTTTTGGCTTTCATTAATACAGTAGTGAACAATTTGCAAGTAAGAATTACAGAAATAACTCTCACTGTGCTGAATCCACAAGAAAAAAGTGGTTTGATGCCTTGCACTAAACAGTAAAGTCAGAACTCCAAGGTTATATTAAACTGAAGCCTTCATTGTGATCAATAGCTTGGATCAGTTTACATCGTAGAGTTTCTTTTTCTGTATATTTTGGAAGATCTAGAAGGTTAAAACAGGTATGGGAAACCGGGAGATAGTTCTCACCGCCTCCTGTCGACTGGATGACTAGTTTCAGACTCTTCATACCAAGAATGGGGATGCGATCACTACCTGTCAAAAATACTGCCAAGAAAAATGATTTAGGCAATGCAGTCTATGACCACAGTCTAGCTTTGCATTAATTATTTTTACAGGAAGTGCTCAATAAATTCTTGATGAACAATGGTATTGAAAAAGCATTTTGAAGTCCCTTTTGGAAGAATTGTTTAGAGAACTGGTTAAGCTAGCCTTAAATTTTGTGTGTGTGTGTGTGTGTGTTAACTCAGTTAAGTTTCTGAAGTTCTCTCCTACCATATTGAACTTGGGGAGTTGAGCTTCACTGCTAAACTGTTTCTAGCACACTCTCTAGTCCACTTGAGCTCTGTAGTTAAAAGCAGACCTTGAACTTGAGATCCTGGCTTAGAACTACCAAGACTGGGAAGAGCTTCAAGAAAAATACCCTACAAAGATTTTTTTAAATAAAAAACAATAGGAAAAGAAATCAAGCCATGTTCTGTAGCATATAGGATCCTAGTTAGGTCCCCAACATCCATATGGTGACTGCTCACAACCACCTCCAGGGGATCTGAAACCCTCTTCTGGCCTCTGAGGACACCTGTATACATTATACTCGCATAGAAACAACATACATGTAAATAAAAGTCTTAACTAAAAAGTGAGCTAAAATTTCAGTTTTAACAATTAGATTCTCACAGAATATAGAGCTGGTTAGAAATACTTACACAGAAATTGTTTCTTCTTTTCTAGTGGCAATTCATGAAACACTTCCCAAAAAATTTTTATCGTGGGATGTTCTGCCCAATACTCTCCTTTGTATTCTGTATTCTAAAAATAATAAAACTTTTTATCAGCATTAAAGATTTCGTAAACCTATCATGGTTTTAGAGCAGGAACTACTGCAATCCTGGTACTTTACAATGTAAAGCTGATTCCCAGGAAAAGGGAATATAGACCTATCATCTTTGTAAGTAGACGTGTAAGGTTTATTAAAATAACAACATGGAACTGTATCACAGTTTATTTTACTAAACAAAAATGCTAGGGGCAACACTGACAGTGTTCTGTGGTAGTCTGTTTCTGGGATGGCCTAGAAATCTTTTTGTGATCCCCTCATGGCCAGCCATATTAGGGACCAACTTAACACTGGATTTGCTAGAAAAACAGGGAAACGCAAGTCTTTATTAAGCACTGGGTGGAAAGCCGTTCAATCTGGGTAGGGGCCTATAGCACTTTCCCAGTCACCTGATCATCACCACCAGAGTGAGCACTGCAGGTATGAGGGGCAGTGGAGTGTCTATCATAAGCACAGCAAGGAGCAACAACACGCAGAAGGGCTACATTTCCAATAAGGCATGTCTTGCCTTTCCATTCCGACAAGACTTTTTTCCTTACCTTCTCCAGTTCTTTCCAGTCATAATTTGTATTTCCAATGACCATAGCTTGTAATTCATTAGGCTGGAAAAGCAGAAGAACTTTTCCCCCACACACTTTATGAAAGCCAGCATGGAAAGCATCAAATAAAGATGCTACTGACTTATTGAATATGTAGTCCACATAAGCATCAACAAACTCTTGCCTAGAAATAAAAGCAAGGCACGGATGTTCAGGTCACATGCACAAATTTTGCTCCTTCTTGCTACTTTTCAATTAAACTTGGAAAAATGAGTAGACTTCAAAGGGACATTGTCATTATGGGGAAAACTAAACCAAACCCAATTATTCTTCCATTAAAAATAAAAAACAAAACAAACAAGCCACCAGGTGTGGTAGCACGTACTTTTATCCCTAGCACTCTGGAGGGAGAGACAGATGGAGCTTAGAATTCCAGGCCATCCTGGTCTACACAGTGAGGCAGGACAGCCAGGGCTATGTGAAGAGACCCTGTCTCAAAAAACAAAACCTTTTAAAGATGATCTTGAATGCTTAATATCTATTTCTTGGATATAAATATTGTTAGATTCCTTGAAACCAAAGGAACTGAAAAGGATTGAAAGTCTCTCTGTAAGACAGAGCCTGACAGCAGGCTCTTTCTCTCTCTCCTCCTCCTGCTCAGAGGATTTTAGAAGCAAAGGCGTATTACTTTCCCATTAAACATTCAAATATTATTTTTTGTTTGTGTCTGAACTATTTTGAGACAGGGTCTCATTATGTAGTCGAAGCTGGATGAAAGAGATTATCTGCCTCTGCCTCTGCCTCCTGAAGTGCTGGGAATAAAGGCATGTGGTACACTGCACAACCTAAACTATTGCTTCCTTTATAGTCGTGACATGTGACATGTTTTAAAAACATGTAGTAACCCTTGTCATTCCACGGAGATTAATGCAATCCACCTACCGATTCTGTTTGTTAACGGCAGTGTCTGCACCATTAAGAACCAGCTCTTTCACCTCTGTTGCACCAAAGTTTTCAACTGTAATCTAGAAATTAAAAAATAAAATTAAACTCAAAACCTGTCCTATTTTAAATGTAACATATTTTCAGACTCATATTCATCACTCAACCTGTAACATGATTTCTCTCATTAAATATACAAACAAAAATGTAAAAAAACATAGGCGTTAAACCATGCTGCTCAGGGCCTACTTACAAATTATGCTTAGAACCCCAACTAGGACCCCACTTCTAGTAGTCTGAAATCCTACAGCGGCCAGGGACACACTATCCACATACACAGTTAGCTAAATACGGGAAACCTCAGCACTTCTCATAAACAAGATAGTAGAAAAGATGTTTTCCTTAGGAGAGCAGGCAAACTGGCCAGATCTTCCACAGGTGCCAGCACAGCACTTCCCTTATGACAGTACTTTCCTGTATTCTTCTATTGTGAAATTTCATTCCAGATAGTTTTTAGTTACACACTAATTTGGTTTATAAGGTAGTAAACATTATTTTAAAACTATTTCTTCTACTAGTCTGCTATTTTTTTGTATCTACAAAACACCATGGTGGGAGTAAGATGAGGAGTGGGAATACATCTGTGCAGGAGAAAGCCTTTAAAAAAAGGGTAAGAACCGAATTTTACCACACAGGAATCATCTCTACAAAACTGCCACACAATATCCTCATACACCAACTCAACAATAGAGCAGTAAATAAAATAACCAAGTTCTCAACGTTCAAATGGCACGTGGTTCTTTTAAAAAAGGCAGATTACATGAAAGAATATTGTACGATGAATGATATAAATAAGAGGAATAAGCTGGAAAGAAAGTCAAATTACAGAAGTTGGAGAAATGACTCAGTGGGTAAACTGCTTGCTTTCCAATCACGAGGGACTGAGCTGGAGCTCTAAAACCAAGGCTAGGAGAAAGCAGATGTTTGGGTGCTCTGGCCCAGCAAATGCAGTGAGCTCCTCAAAAATTCAGCCTCCATATAGCCACATAGGCAAGCAAGTCAGTGCCTATGCATGCAGATGCACTCACACACAAATATAAAGACACAAATACAATCTTGTTGTAAAAGGAGAAATGATGTGTTTTATGTTCCCATAGAGCTTTTAATGTAAAAGCAATAAAAGGGGCACAGAGAATCTCTACAACTGGGCAGCAGGAAGAAATGCTTGACTTACCACTGTTCCTGAATACTTACGAAAACATATTTATATACTTTTGGAACTTGAATG